CTTGCAATTTGCCAGTGCGATGCGGGTTTGGAACAGTGAGCAGCTGATGCGTCAGCTGCTTGTCTATGGCTTTATTTTTTCTGGAATGCCTTTGGTCAGCAGCTTGCAAACAAAATAACGGCACATCCAGGTCTTGCGCATCTCGATTTGCCCGTTCCACCATGCTACGAGCAATGTTCTCCCAATACATGCCAATGACGTGACCATGCTTGAACAAGTCCGTGGTTAGTTCATGTTAGTTCTTTCTTGCAATTTTCGATTTTGCGAGTGCGCAGCTGAGCCAAGTGATTCTCGGACAAGGGAGCAGCAGGCGTGCACGTGCGCATGGCTGTTGTGATTTCTGGCAGGTGAGCATCCAGAAACCGCTTCGACTTCTTCAAATGAATCACTGTATCAATGGTCATCAATGCCGCCTGGGCAGCATGGTGTTCTGTCTGCACTCTGTGCGGCATTTTGCGGATCAGCTCTTCGAGATTGTCAGCTAAGGAGATCTCGTTGGCAGGCTTGATCTGCAAAAAATCACCTGCAATCAGCAAAATTGGTATGTGTCCCATGAGCTCTCCTGGATGGAAATAGCTGGCTGGATCAAGGCCTTCATCTTGACGGGCGCGCATGCTGCGGTAAAGCATCATGTTTTCCACTGCAGCTGGCACCAAACTGATTTCATCTTGAATGATTAAAATTTTCGGCTGCCAGCGTTGTTTCATCTCTTGCTCTTTTGTCTTCAAGGCCAAATGCTTGTTGCGCAAACTGGCTACACGATACGAGCAAGCAGTATGACATGTTCGCGCGCGATAGACATCATTGGAAATGGCATCCGATTGGGCATGGCTGAAGGTGGCAATCATGTATCGCTCTTCTTCTCCGGGCCTGGCTGGAAAAAAGTGACAAAAAACATCCAGCATGAGCTTCAAAATGATTGTCGTCTTGCCAGTGCCACCGGCGCCAATCAAAAGGCATGCGTGCTGCGCACGTTTTCGCAAAGGTATTTTGTTTTCTTCTTCCTGTAAAGCGACATCCATTGCCTCACCAAACCATCTGCAAGCAGACAATTGCTCCGGCGCCAGCTTGAATCCAGCGGCAGACATTTCAAACGCAGCAACCTTCCGCGCCATCGCTGCAGATGGCTTGCTAAAGGTGCGCCATTCTGCTTCTGGCATCGCGACATCACTGTTTGCAGCCAACTCTCCTGCGCCCTCTGCGCAGTCGCTCGTAGCAGCCCGGTCCGCCGACAAGCGGCTGAGGCCCATGCTATCATTTGTCATGGCAGCGCGCTGAGCATCCAGTAGCGGCTGCGTGATCATGGGCACTTTCTCTTTCAACCTCAGTTGTTCTGCTCGTGGATTCACTGCAGTGCCACTCGCGCGCTTGTAGGCCGCAGTTCTATGCAACGCTTCTTCATCCCCTGTCAAGGGCAAAAGGCCCACAGAAATCATGTCGCGCACAAACTTGGTTTGCTTTTGACGATGAAAGGTCATGGCTTGCGAACGCTGCGATGAAGTCAGTGGATGATGTACTTTTAAAGGTGCATCTCCAGCCTTCAGTCGAACCTCCCCATCGATGTCTGGATCCAAAGCATCTTCGAAAGCTGGTTCAAAGGATTCGCCAGTATCTCCAGTCCCGTGGCCTTCACGCACTAATCCTGGATCTTCTTTTGCATCTGCGTCCAAAGCATACGACTTGGTTTTGGGTGCTGCCTTAGCACGTCCGTAAGCATCTAAGTTCTTGACCACTCTTTTTGTCAAGTAGCAAACATACTCTTGGACAGTCAAATGGTTCTGCAACTTTGCACTCGCATCGCAACCCAGTTTGTTCGCGCAATCCTTGTCCAATGGAATCAAGTATTTCTCTTGAGCCAATTCTTTTTGCAACTGGAATACTTCCAAGCACTCCCACAAAGTAGGTATTTCCATCCGTGCTTCAATTTTTTTTTCAGCATCCGCTGCTTTGGGCAAAACAGTGTGCTGCCAGTAGTGTTTCCATGCTCTTGGGAATGCATCATATGGATTTTCATGCTCTCCTCGCTTCATCTTTTTGGTTCCTTTCTCCACATCCAGAAAGATGGCCCTGTACGGGTCCTGCGGATTGCCTTTTTCATCCATGTCATTGTTTTGCCCCAAAGGCTTGAAGAGCAGCAACTTGATCAAACTCATCTTATGCGGATCGACATCTGGCGATGGAATATGCATACCTTCCAGTTGTGGGATCTTTGGAATTAAACTAAGACGCTGTGTCTTCACTAACGCAGATGGTTTGTAATCTGCATCGTAGTCGAAGGTAATCACACATAGTCTCCCAAAGGATCTCGACTGGATTGCTTTTTTGCACCATAAACCCACATATTGTAGACATATGCTGGAAGTGCCTGCACATGCAATCACAAACAAAACATTACGATTTTATTTTAAGGTGTTTAGACTCAAACCACAAACAACAACGACACTTCTTAACTACTTTCAAGACCCTGCCTGCATGATGGGATGCTCTCCACGGTGCATGTAGTCTTCGTGATTCGATGTGAACTGCACATGAATGTTGGAGTTGTGATCAAAGCTGTCGATCTGAACGGCCTTCATGTTAGCAGCCATGCGATTCCGCAGCTTGTCGATTCCAGATAGAATGCCAGATAGAATGCCAGAAGATATGTCAGATAGAATGCCAGAAGATATGCCAGATAGAATGCCAGAAGATTTGCCAGATAGAATGCCAGAAGATATGCCAGATAGAATGCCAAATAGAATGTCAGAAGATATGTCAGATAGAATGCCAGAAGATGTGCCAGTAAGAACATGTATAAATGTCATGCTGGGGATCACACGAAGTAAAGTAATTTCTTCTGCACATTCTTTGTCCCATATCTTCCTACATGAGTTCCGGCAGGGAACACTTGGCATGGATACTCGCGGTTGAGGTCCGGCAGGGAACACTTGGCATGGATACTCGCAGATGAGGTCCGGCAGGGAACACTGGGCGTGGGTGGTCGTGGTTGAGGTCCGGCAGAGAACACTGTGGATCGCGGGTCGCAGTTGAGCAAGGACGACGAGGACGACGAGGACGACGAGGACGACAAGGACGACAAGGATGACAAGGAGGACGAGGAGGACGAGGAGGACGAGGAGGAGGAGGAGAGGAGGACGAGGCAGGAGGAGGAGGAGGCAACTGACATAAAATCTAACAACCCTCACCTGGCAGGTGGGAAAAAACAGTATGAAATTTAGGTTACGACCTAAATTCAATTAATTTAGGTCGTAAAAAAATAGGCAAATTTTTGATAAACCTAGTTTTTTTGGATTGCGTAAATGAAGGCCATAAGTACATTTACTAATTTCGGAGGCTCAGGGAAATGAACAAATGTAAATCCTGCAATTCGGTCTTAAAACTCAACTTTGGTGCCGAGCCTGCGCATTATTTATCTCCAAATGGATATCGATCATGCGTTGGGGGTGCGAGCGGATATACGATATTCGGTGCGAACACACCATACACATCCACATGTACAGCACTTCAAAGTATTTGCCCCATGGAAGGTCGAAACAATACTTGCCGATTGCTTCCATCTTGGCTCGAGACCCCCAACTGCAGGTCCCGCAAAAAGATCTCGTGCTATACGCCGTTGCCGGGTGTCCGTCGGAGAAGTCAATCAACTAGGGATATAACAGGTGACCATTAGGAATCACCGGTTCGCAAGGATGATCCCTTTCTAAACAGTGAGGGTACCAACGTTGGTCATGATTTATCAACATCATTTTGGTGCTACACTTAACCCATCGATTAAATAATGGTCACGGATTTTTGTGTGATTTTGTGTATTTCATCAAAAATATCCTCCTGCCAATTTCCACTACTAAATGCTATGACCTAGGTCCCGGAAAGTGAACCAACAATTTAGTGTGAAATTTCCAGAAACCATTTAGTAGAGAATCATGATTTTTCAAAAAAAAATCAAGTAAACATCTCTAGACCCATGATCCACATTTAGTAGTGAGGTAAAAATGATATGAGTACCTCTACTAAATGGAACAGGGTGTTTGGTCGAGTCATGTTGGCGTCTTAAGACACTCTGAAAATATATCCAAATTTTGCGTTTCAGCTGAACCAGGGGCCCACATTTAGTAGTGAAATTCGATCATGCATGCACATCCATTTAGTAGAGCTTGAGGCTATGCAGGCCGTTTCTTCACTACAAAATGGTTGCACAGCTCACAGCCCCAACCCTTAATTGACAGGGGGTTTCAAAAATGATTTCCCGGGACACTTTTCAGTTCAACTCGAAGATATTCTATGTGAATCGGTTTGTTTTGGCATTTGCTTCTGTTCGAAGCGCATTCGGGACTCGGGGGGATTTGAGTGACTTTTATTTGAAACAGGTCTCACCGTAAAACTATAGCTCGAGCTAAAATTAGATTTCAACCTAAAACATCCTAAAATTATAGAACAAGATCAAACCGTTGCTGGAGCTAGGGCTAGGCTAAAGGCTAAAGTCTAAAACTTGAATAAGAGCAAGGTACTGCTGTCGCTAGGATTAGAACTCGAATTCCAATTAGATCAAAACCCAACGCAATTGGACCTAAATTTCACTCTCAAACCAGAAAAGAATTAAGCTACCCAACTATTTCCAGAAGAAACTGAAGAAGAAGATGAAATTATAACACAAACTAAGCCACGACATACTGTAGAATTGGGACTCAATCGAAGGTGTACCAAGCCTCAACCGAAAGGCTATACCCAGCCGGGGCAACGCAAAATCCGCACAGAAACAATCTAAGTGAAACTAAAACTATCACAAGATGATTCACAAAAACATCCACAAAACACACGCTGGCAGGCCGGCGGGTTTTCGTTGATTATGGATAAAAAATGATCAACACCTATCATTCATGTTCTGGCAGTTCTTATTTTGCAACGTTTGGCGATGTAGTTCATTCTTGTGTTTGTTGAACGTTTTCTTTTTGCAAAGGTTGGTTCGCACGCCCATTGAAACTTCACTCAGTTGACCAGACATGTCGCGCATTCCTAAAGGCATTCCTAATGCATTCCCTCTGAGGTCGCAGTCGGAACTCTTTGCGCTTGGCCGTTCTTTCGAGCTCTTGCTACAAGGCTTGGGTAACGACCGCGACCGTGTTGGCGATGCGATCTACGGGGCCAAGACTGCTAATCTGGTGGTTTTCAAGGAGCTGCCGCAGCTGGCGGGAATGCAGGATTTCCACAAATCTCATGGAATTGTGAGGCACAAACATGCACAAACTATGATCCATGCCAATCCAGACATGTCATAAAGCTGCTGTGATCCCCTTTGATGAGAACATGACTCAGGATGAACAAGTACGCACATCTTGTCATTTCTTTGTTTTGTAATTCTTGCCTGCTCCCTTCGATTTGTGATTTGCATGGAGCAGAACAAAATGAAATGAAACATATGAAAGTCAAAGAAGCTGACCCGATTGATCCACATTCCAGACATTTTTTGAGTCTGGGTCCAAGTTGGACTATTTCGGTCAGACATCAGAAATCAACAACCCTCCTCTTTTCCTGTCAATGTATCATGATGTGTCTCATGCACATGTCTCGGCAGGACAAATTCATCACTCCACGGGCGGTTCTATCTTTGGCTCTTTTCAATGGCTTTCGAGTGCTCGGACACAAGAGCGCAGATCCGGAAGAGTTGAGGCTCTTTGTTGAGACCATGGCATTTAAGCTGGAGGCCTAGTCGCCTAGTGCTCAAAATGATCAAAGTCAAAGAAGCTGACCCGATTGATCCACATTCCAGACATTTTTTGCAAGCTTTGTCAATACATCCGTACATACACACAGATAATCATAGAATATACATAGACTATATAATACTATATATTATTATATATTCATATATGCATGCAGCTTATATGCATATATTATGAGATCTATATATATATACATAGAGGGAGATCCAGTTTATCTCCAGAAATTCCAGAAGCGGGCACGGAGCAGTGGCACGTGGGTTGCACATGGTTGAAGGCTGCCCTCACGGCCTCAGGCATTTGGGACTGGATATCACGCTACAACGTGTGACTGGCGTCACCGATTCGTTTCTTGAACTTTGTCAACAAAATATCAAAGACATGCCGCCCGGCAGTCTGTTGGCATGGCGCAAGTTGATGACCTACACAGGTTCGTGTTTCAGGCCCTCTTGGGATTTGAGAGTGTAGGGGAGAGGGAGAGGGCTTGAAGATACTTGTGGAATCTTGTGGATTTATGTTGCATGCATTGACAATACCAGCAAGATCCTGCAAACTAAGCTGGAGCTACGCGACGCTTTCGGGGTTGTAGCAGCGCCAATGGAAGCCTTTCGTTGGCCCATCACCAGATGACATGAAAAACAACAAAAGTGGCCTGGAGTTGAAACATATGAAACTGTTCAACTGTAAATTCAATCAGCAGTTGGCAAATAAAAGTTGTCAAATGAAAGCTGTTTTTTTCGTGGCACTGGTCATGTGTTGATCAGCGGTTCAAACTGCTTTGTTTGTCCTAGCGACGCAAGTGCTTGGCAAACAACATGCCATTGAAAGCTGCAAAGTGCCACCGCTGGTTTGTATATGTGCGTGTGATTCAGACATGTGCATCATGTGCTTTTCTCCGCAAGACTTGGTCAAGAAGTCTGCGCCGAGTTGAGATTATTGTAGCTCGGGTTTCAAATGCTGATCCATACTGCCCGTTGCAGGTATGTCAACACCACCTGTGGCCAGCGGCTGAAAGTCATTCAGGCCAAACCATTTCAAATCCAGAATGCACATTGAGGGGCGCCGCGCAAAACACAGACTGATGGTGATTGGTGTAAATTGTAAACGCATCTACTGTAAGATAGATATAAGTATATAAGATTGTATAAGTATGAGTAGGCCTCATGATTGGTCTTACCCCTCATGCATGCTGAATCAACGGGATTGTTGTCAACAGTTGTCAAGCCTGACATATGAAGAGTGTGAAAGCGCTCCACCAATGCAATGCTGTGAGGTAAAAGATGACTCTCCCTGTCTCTCTCTCTCTCTCTCTGAGAAATTGGCTAGGGCTTTTTGATCTGCATTTGTTGAATTTGTTGACAGATTTGCCACCCGGACTGATTTTGATAGTCTGAATGGTTGATAAGGGGTGGGTTGGGGGGAATTTGGTTTTTGCGACGCTCTCGCGTGTTTTTCGGATATCAATGATAATTATTTTCCCAACAGCATTATATAGCTCTGGGGTCTGAGCCAGATACGCATGGGTGGGAATAAGACATACCGATACCTTACTTAAGCCTAAGCCCCAAGAGGGGAGTTTTCAGACTCGGCAGTTTTGGGGCATGTTCAAGCACTGCTCTGGTGCCCTCTTGTACCCTCTTCAGTGGCGTTTGCATGCGTTTGTTATTGGCGCACGGATTTAGACGAGAAGTGGCACAAAGAGATAGCAAAACTCACTCCTTGATATTGATATACAGTACGTAGTTGATTGTTTGATCCTACTTGTAGGTGCCGGTCAAGCTTTTATTGTCCACAACCGGCGCAAAAGCTTGAAAACACTACGGCCCCGTAGGCTGATTGGCACCAGATTGGGGCTGCGGCGGAACATGACCCGGATGAGAACCATTCTTTCAGTGGAATGTGCGCCTTCAGCATGGGAATCATGGGCGAAGAAGCAGAAGGCACAAATGGCTTTGGGACCTGGGACTTGATTCACCCTTAGATCCCTTAGTATCCTTAGTTGCCTTAGTTGCCCTTGTCAGTCCTTTGGAGGAAGTCGAGGGATGTTTCACAGATTCCTCCAAGTTTAGAAAATGCTGGGATGCGATGCAGGGTCTTATTCTTGGACAGGTTCCTGTGCTGCTGTTTGTTTCATCGCTTCAGTAGGCTGCACATCTATGGCTATGACATGGCCATGACATGGCTATTGCATGGCTTTCACATGGCTATCACGGGATTATCAGATGGCTCTAAAGAATGTTTATGACCTTTTTGCGGCGTCTGGCAATTGATGTTTAAATTTATGTCATATCTCAGTGTGAGGACAATGTAATTAATGTAGGTAGTAGTTTGCACTTTCCAAGGGAGGCATGCAACGTAGGTTTGCGGTTTTGTTCACCTGGTGTCCATACCTTTTGACGGAATCGTTTGCTTTGCTGATTCGGATGGGGATGTTTGGGGTTCATCCCATCCCGTGCGTGATTAATCGTGAAGTTTTTTTTTTTGTTTTTTGTTCTTGGGCAACCTCTTGCGCAACTTGTCCAGGTTGGATGCAAGAGCTTTTGGAAGTGTTTGCAGACGCTGGGCTAGAAAATTGAAATGCCAAGGAATCTAATTAATCAAAAATGCTGGCATCGCCGTGTATCTGCATGCGCAGTGGGCATGTGCTTTAGGCACGTGCCATGTGTTCAGGGTCGATTCGCTTCCACCCCATGTTTCATTGTTTTTCCTCGCGGCCTTTCAATGCGATTCAAGGTCTTGGTCGACAGGATTTCCAAACCTGCGGCCTTGCTAGAGGACAAGTCTCACAGCACATGTGACACGACCATTTTGCAACTTGCAATGCCACCGCGTCATGGCATTCTGCTCCATATGATCTACAAGGAATTAAATTTTACCGGCTTGAACAGCTGGCAGGAGTGTGACTTACCTCGCTGCTTGCATAGTTTCTGCCTCTTGAAACTATGACGCATTTGACCCAGATTATCTGCAAGGAAGAGTTTAAACTCACATAGTTGGCAGTTTTCAGGAGTGCGACTTGCTTTCCATCAACATGAACAATCGCTACAAGGACAACCAAGAAGGGAATTTCAAACCAATGATACAAAACTGGACATGCATGGCGGTGTAGCACAACAAAGCCAGGGCGGAGCTATTGGGCACTGTTCTTTTTCAACTGAAAACTTTCCAGGGGTGTGAAGGAGGTTGAGAAAGGCGTCCCGGCGGGCACACACACACACAGATGATCTACTGCGATTTGAGCCCTCTAGCCATCCACAGCCCATGTCGGCAGGACATCAACTTTGACAAGTTCAAACCTGTCATGCTTGCCGCCCTCCGCTCCCTGAACCTTGCCATCAAGTTTGATGTTTGGCACATTTTGGCGTTCTCACTTGTACAACCCATTGACGATGCACCCGGTATCTATCTAAGATCCTGTAAGGAGTTGTGATTCGAATGAATAGATTTGTTTTTTCCATCCCAATATTTTTCAAGTGCTTGACGGTGTTTGTTTATTCTCGAAAGATCTACGAAAGTTGGATATCATGAATCATCATTATATAAATGTGTTTTTTACATATATATATACATTACTTTAGGGGCATGTTTGCGACAGTTCCGCAAAAATTATGTGAGGGCATGAAGGAACGGCGAATGTGAACATTTGAAGGAATGGCACGGTGAGTCAAATGTAAGCCCACGGAGCAAGAATCTGTCCTTATGATTCTGATGCCTCCTGGTCCACAAGGCTATCATGAAGTAATCGATGCTAATTTGGCTGACAGGGATTGGCTGGGTCCTGACTTCATAAAACATTGTTGCCGACATCGGCCACAAAAGAAAACGTGGAGTTCGTGCTTTTTTTCCAAAAGTATGGCTGCTTCATGCTGTTTCCAGGTGAACTAGGTTTGATCAATCACCATGCATATAAACACATGCACACACAATCACACACACACATATTTATTGTATATGATTATATTAATAAATATATATATATATACTAATATACACATATCTGTATATATATCAATATATATATATGTATGTATATATGCATATTTGCATAATATATATATATTTATATCTATTATATTAATATTATGCGTGTGCGTGTGTGAGTGAATGTTTACACTTTCTTTACCTCATTGCATGTCTACAAATACTATCATTTGCGGCTGCCGAGGCTTCCGAAAACATGGAGCACAACCCATGAGACTGCTTGGGAATGGCTGTGGTTCACCATCAGTCGCAATCTCAATGAGGCTACGAACAAGGTGACTACCTGAGCTACCTTACCTTAAGCAACTTTGGGTAAAACAGGACTTGCACGCATGGAACTAGACAAATCACTTGAAGAAAACTGACTCAACGATGTCAATGTGTAAAGCGCTTGTTAGATTCGCCGTGTTTCCAGATGTTTCCAGTGCTTCCATGGTGGGTCGCATTCAGAGCTGTGGGGTCCCAACAAGGTGAAGGCGTTCAAGCTGTACAATGCTCATCTTTTTAGCACACTTGGAGAGGAGTGCCTTGCAGGGAAAACAAACTCTGTGGCAGGTTGCTAATGGATGCTAACGGTGCTAGGATGTCCCGGGAATTGCCGGGGCATGTGCGCATGCTTCATTGTGCGAGCTTCCATGTCAATGGTGAAGCATTGTGAAGTGCTGCAAGAGTTTCAGGATGCTCCGGGCCAACCGTGCTTATCAAAGACACTGTGATCTCATTATTTAGAATGGGGCAAAGAAATCCTACCGTCAGATTCAATATTATTTAAATATAATATATATATATATAACTAATATATATATATATATTTATATATTTGTTGTCAAAATGAAATCCGTGCATTCGGAAAGGTGAAATCTAAAAGAGTGATCTGCAATACTCTACTTAGCCTCCGGGGACTGTTGTAAGAAACTAGACGCGTTCGTGCGCTGAGCATGGATCCAAATGTTTGACTCACTCCATGAAATTGCTTGAAATATTTGAAAAGAGTTTGCCTCATCCGCTTAAGTTGTTCGGTACCAGCTTACCTGACTTCTGCTAGGTGGATGGGTCACCAGGCAAGGCTGCCCCCAACATCCTGCCACCAACAATAAATTGAGAAAGCGTTTCGAGAATAGTACTAGTAGCAAACTAATGCTAACTATATTGAATATTATTTATTGTGTTGCTGTTGCAGCCATGGGCGGTTTGTGCTTCACAATGCCGGTCACTTCAAGGGGAGCACAAAGTTGCAATGAAGTGGAACAGCTTGAGACGGTCGAACGCACTGGATGTTGCATTCATCATACAAATCAGTAAGTGCATTGCATAAGGATAGTCAATGTTTGTCATACACGGCGGCAAGTGTGCCAAGTATCGTGATGGACTTGAAGTCCGCATAGAACTGACGGATACACGCCTTCGATTTGGCAGCCCAAGGCAGTTCGAGCACTTCCGAACGACCATCTACACAGATTTCTTCTCTAAGTGCGCTACGAGCCAAGAGTGGTTTAAGCAGTGACCCGGCGATAAGAACTGGATGAAAGGTGTGGACGGTCTGTGGACAGCTGACTATTTCTTCAGACCTTGATGCAGTTCTGTGGTCGGATCGGTCTGCAAGTCTGCATAAGTCTGCAAGGTCTCAAACAAGGCTTCGCTACATTGCTGATCGAGTGCTACGATCTTCTTACGACATGTACCAAAGGCCAAAAGAGGAGCCTTGGCTTTGCATTGGCCCATTTTTTGCTGGATTTGTCCAGCATAACTTGCGCAATTTTGGCCCATGTGTTCTTGTGCAACTTATGCGCAGCTCTTCCCACACAGTCTCGCAGCTTGCATTGCTTTGCATTGCTCTTGCATTGCCCAGCATTACTGCACAGATGGCAAGACTTGGCCAGATTTGGATCAAGATTTGGCAAGGATATGATGGATGAACTCTCCGCACTGGGGCTACGTCACGTAGGCTATTTTGAGCGCTCTGGGATGTTCTGACGGTTGCTGGTGCGAAGATGCTGCTAGCAAGAAGAGACTTGAAGAGACCAAAAGAGACTGGAACAAATCGAAAAGTGGATAAGCATATGAGCAAAGACCTAAAAGCTTAAAAGGTTCATGCAGAAACCTTTGCATGAGAGGTCATATGGTGGAAAATGTATCCCAAACTATGGAAAGCGATATGGTGAACTACTTAAAGCATCTTAAAGCGATAACATGCGATAACGTTATTTGATGGTGAAGTTGAAAGGTGTTGTTTTTTTTCGCAGCCATTTGGGATTGTATAGTAATCTCATATGCATTGTTTTAGTATTCGTCGGATGTGAATCCAGTGGCTCCCCAAAAGGCCTAGAGGTGCTCGCAAAAGGCCTAGAGTACGCACTTCTGACTTCTGACCACAGAACTTGCTGCCAAAACCTGTCACGATACAGAAACAATCTTTTCACATGTTTCCTGATTTTACCAAATGAATTTATCGATAACCAAATCGATAATGTCGCACCAAAAATTGCCAAAAGGGGCCCCGGGCAGCCAGAGACCCAATCCATCCCTGGAGTGGCGCGCTTCAATTTTTTGCCAGTGTCTTGAAACATCTACTTGGGTGGTCCAGCCGCGCCTTGAAACCTACCATTGGATATATAATAAATATAATAAGTTTGATGTAAAGACCCAAAGAGATGAACAGAATCTGCAGAAGCAGAAGGCGCGCAACAGTGCAAAAACCAAGCTGTTCTGAGGAACATTCCTTTCGCACTTTGAAGACAAACAGTGGACACCAGACTGCTGACCATGAAGAGCCCCCTATCGTGGATTCTGCGGAGATGAATGGACATGGATCTCCAAATCGACACCCGTTGTTTCACATGTTTCAAAACCATGTAAATCAATATGCCGAACAGTCTATGAACGCCTTTGTGACCCTTAGTGTCGGTCCCCGCTCATATATAAGCGTGGATTTCTCTCAGAACGTTCTTCCTTGATTTGGTGGTAGATTAGCAGGCCAAATGAAATGAGAAAAGTCAGAAACCTAATTCAATAGTGGATGGACCTGTTCGAGATCACATCATGCATGCTGTCAGACATATGAAGAAAGCACTTTGGTGACTGGCTATAATCCTGCCTGCATGTTTCATGATCGCATCCAACATATGACATTGCTACTTCATGTTGAACGCCGATACCGACAGGCTATGGTGTCCCGGTTGAACTCTTCGCACCTTTCACAGACTCCTGCGTAATTGTCATGAAGCGGTTGATCGCTGAAATTGCCAAAGATGTTCCTCGGCAGCTGAATATGCAATGCATGCAATGGACCGCAATTGAATGCTATACGACTTCAGTCTGAGAGTTGCGAGGTCGCCACGATCCACCACGCATTGACATGCATCGCATATTATATGCAATGCATATATGCGATCGCATATATATATATATTATACATATGCATCGTCACATGCATGGGCGCATGCATTGCCACATCATGTCACATCATGTCACATCATGTCACATCATGTCACAGCATGTCACATCATGTCACGCCCATTGATGCATGCGCGGGCCGCCCCATGCCACTAATTCTTCGATGCTCTTCCATGTAGCAGCACCAGGAGAATGTGAAGCTCAGCCTCAAAACCGACGTTGTTTCAGCCAAAGCGCACGGCTTGCAGGATGCTTGGCTTGGGCCAAGACATGCTAATGAAGCTCCCTGGTCACCGTATGAAGGAGTTCGGTGTTTGGAAAGGTCATGTGTTTTGCCCGGTCAACTGCCATTGGGCGGGATTAAGTCTTGTGTTTCCGTTGTTGGGTAATTAAGAATTTTGATTTCGTCCTCAGTCCCGTTGCCCGTGAGGAAACAGATGCAAGTGACCTGATGCTGGAGGGTTTCCGTTGGTCCATTGGTGACTTTTCTGAGCATGTGTTACCATGATTCTGCTTGCCCGAACAGTTGTTCAACGCGCACTAGACTGAGATGCCAGTTCAGGCTGCCTTGTGACATGACTTGACCTGTTGTGAAAACAGTTGAAAACGAGGCTTTGCGATGGAGATGGGAAGGAAGAAGATGAAAGGGGGGGAGGGACTGGGAGGAAGAGAATGGGAGAAAGATACCTTGCGTTTCCTGCATTGAGGCCTGGTGTCACGTGTGTTGATGCGCACCATCACCGAAGGCTCCACTTCGGTCATGCAACTTGGCAACGTCTTGCTGCAGTTTGACACGCACACGCCCCCACAGAATAAGATACAAAAGCATCAAAAAGAATCAAACAACATCAAAAAACATGTTAGTCACTTTCTCAAAGGATCTTGCACGGCATGGGCTAGGCTAAAGGACTTTCACGAGAAACATGTGGAGTACCATCTTAAATCGCCAGAAATGTGTTTAAGAATGCTTAAGATAAATCCTCGTAATCCTCTTTGGATATCTTTGGATCATTCGAAATGCCCGACTACGATAATAAAATTGTGGGCAGTTAGTAGTCGCTCACAACTGGGGAACACATTCTTTCAACCACGACCGCCAATTTGGTCTTGAGGTGTTTCTCGATCCCCCACCCCTTAAGATGTATACTAAGGGCGGGGGGGGGGCAGGGATTTGTTCATGTACTTTATAATTCCCCCCTCCCCCGGGAACAACACTTATTGCCGAAGGAAGTTTAGAAGTCAAACTTCCGACAATATGGACAGATGAAAGCAGATGTGGAGCAGAAGAATAGAGAAGAGAAGAGAAGAGAAGAGAAGAGAAGAGAAGAAGAGAGAAGATCAGAGAAGAGAAAGTCTCAGAAGAAAGAAGATGCAGGCGCGCGAAAAGGTAGGAAAGTCGCGAAACCTGGTGTTTTTCCCATTATTTGTGGCTCGGGAGGGTCGAAAAGTAGGCTCGCTAAAGCGGCGGGTGCGGAGCCATCTGGCCAGATGAGAGATGAAAAAGTGCACGCCGTTGTGGCGCGAAGCACATTTCCAAGTCAAAATGCACAAAACACACCAGGTCCGGACCACTTTTGGAAGTTGCGATGTCTAAAAAGTGCACGCCGTTGTGGCACGAAGCACATTTCCAAGTCAAAATGTCACAAAACATCACAAAACACCTCACGTTCGGACCACTTTTGGAAGTTGAGATGTCGAAAAAGTGCACGCCGTTGTGGCACGAAGCACATTTCCAAGTCAAAATGCAAAAACATGCAAAAACACACCAGGTCCGGACCACGGCGTTGTGGCGCAAAGCACATTTCGAAGTCAAAATGTACAAAGCACACCATATTCGGACCACTTTTGGAAGTTGAGATGTCAAAAAAGTGCACGCCGTTGTGGCGCGAAGATGCGCGAAGCACATTTCGAAGTCAAAATGTTAAAAACACCACATGTTCGTGCCACTTTTGTCGTTTCGCGTGGCAGGCGCAAGGGATTGTGCACCTTGTCAAAAGTGGGCAAAACGTGAAGGGTTTGTGGCATTTCCAAAAACGATGGCAGCCGTGGGGCATTTGAAGAGGATCTGCAAAGATGCCTATTCCGTGGCAGGCTCAGTACAAGAGACATGTTCATCAGAGCTGTTAGGAGGTCCGGGCGCTGATTTCCTGAGAGGGGTTGCATTTTGGAGCCTCAGATATTCAGGTTTGCTGAGATGATTTTGCGTGACAGGTGCAGCACTTCGTATGACCTGGCATCACTTTTTCGTGGCAGGCGCGGTAGTTTAGACAAATGGACTGGAAAAATCATGAAAAATCGCAAAACGCATTGGTACGAGGCCGTTAGCTCTGCACTCCACTTTCCATTTTTGAAGGATGCTTCGTTTTTGGTGTTGTGAGCTGTAAAGCAAATGGGAAGTCTCGCAGAAGTGCTTCGTTTTTTGATGTTGTCAAGTGCAAAAATTGAGGACGTCTCGCTGAATTGCTGCGTTTTTGAGGTTGTCAAGTTTAAACACTGAGCAAGTCTCGCAGGATAGCTTCGTTTTCAAGCTTGCAGATAGATACGCAGACAGACAGGCAGACAGACAGGCAGACAGACAGGCAGAGATAGATAGAACGATGGATGGATAGATAGATAGATAGATCGATCGATAGATCGATAGATCGATAGATCGATAGATAGATTAGATAGATTAGATAGATTAGATAGATTAGATAGATTAGATAGGTTAGATAGATAGATAGATAGAAAGATAGATAGATAGATAGACAGACAGACAGACAGATTTACAACTACAACTACAATTACCATTACACTACACTACCAAACTGCTACAGTAGAAATAGAAATATACTACGCCACACAATACTACGCTAATTACGCTACACTAATTACACTACACTAGATATCAGCAGCTTAGCCTCCAGGTGGGTTCGTTTTCCAGCAGCTTAGCCTCCAGGTGGTTTTGTCGTGACCGCCAGAAGTTTTTGCCGCCAGAGGCAAGCCTTCCAAGATTTCAGTGGCGAGGTGGCACACGGGTTGGATCATCCGGACCAGGTGAAAGCAGCCGACTGTGTCGTGTCTGACCGGTTCATTTTCCGGCAGTTTAAAAAGCAGTCGACTGTGTCTTTTCAGATCGGTTTAGTTTCCAGCAGCTTAGCCTCCAGGTGGTTTTTCTGAGACCGCCTAAAGTTTTTGCCGCCAGACGCAAGCACTTCCAAGATTTCTGTGGCGACGTGGCACGCGGGCTTGATCATCCGGATCGCAGGTGAAAGCAGCCGACTGTGCCTTTTCTGACGGGTTCATTTTAAGCAGTTTAGCCT